ATAATTTTAGGGGTCGCAGAGAGTGACAACGAAGATTTCGATATTCTGCCAGTCTAAAGTCACTAACGAAACTGGGATTACGCTTCACAGCCCCGAATCCATTCAGGTATATCAATCAGTTCATGCCTGCGCATGCAAGTAGTGGTTTGTAAAGAGAAATTATGCTTCGGCTCACTTACCGGTTTTATAGCCATTTTGCACAATGAACGCACAAGCCTCACTTTCCGTCGCAAATTTCTTAAATCTGAAAAATCGCGCATCTAAGATTGAAAATTTATTGAAATTAATTCGTTACCACAATGCCAGGCACAGCTGTTAGTTAAAAGTTTGGCTTTCCAAATATGCAACTGGCAATTTTTCCACTTCCATAATTACACTGGTGGTGTTACCGAAAAGATAAACAATGTCGGCGAGAGAGTATCTCCTTGGAAGATACCCCGAACCACCTGAAGCGATGGACTTTGGAGTAGTCCTTTAGATTTTCGGAGCTCGAACCGCGTACTCCAACACCCCATGAGCTGTTGTAAGACCCGAAGGATCTTACCAGGAGTACGGATAGATTTAACATCGCTTGGTGGTCAGTTTGCTGCGAATCCTTATGTTCGTTTCGTTTCTTGAATTGATTTCTAGCTCAGTGGTCTCAGGAAAGAAGCGCTTGAGAAATCTATCGCAGTGTCCAGATGCCCTGTTTGTTGAGCATTACTGTCTCATCCCCAACGTTGCCCTCCAGCGCAGCACAATGAAAGACCTTACACATCGTTCAATAAAATAAAAACAAACATAAAACACGTAGCGTACATCAGGATCGCCGCTGCGATCAAGCGTTATGTGCGGTTCTGTCCAGCGAACATTTGCCTACTAAGGATTTTCACTGTTGTACACTGTGGCTTGTGCAAAAATAGTCGGTCTGTTACCAGGTTTATAACACACAAAAAAAGCTTCAGGCACCTGCACATGAGACGTAAGAAGCTAAATTTGAATAACTTTCCAAAATTTCAACCCCCAAGTCCTTCTGGCTTCTGGATGATCTCCGCTCCGAAATTTTCGCGCGATCGTACGTGAAATCTCGGCATACTCGGAGCTAAACTTGAGTTTGCGAGGGCCCTGCATAGGCAGAAAACATCTCCCCGAAATTTTCAGTCTTTTAGCTTCCCTGGTTTCCGAGATAATAATTTTTTCCGCCAAAATTTTCAGGAGACCGTGCGCGAGACCCAGGCTTGCCGTGGAAAGTGAATTTGCATTCGCGTGGTCGTACGTGGACAGGGAACATTACTCTAAAACTTCAGCTTCTTAGTTTTCGTAGTTCTTGAGACTATAATTTTTTTCGCCAGAACTTTC